TAGCATGTGACTGGATGGCTTTTTGGGGACTTCTGGTGGATTCATGGGAATCTTGGGGAGAAAGGGTGGCACCTCCCTTCCCCCCAAAATACTCATTGAAAACACAAAAATGGAGGAAGAAGAAAAGATGAACAAAAACCTGAAGGGAAGTTACAAGATTAAAATCAGAAATTCCCTTTAAAAACTTTGAAATGTACCCCTTCTACTGTAAATTGTTCATCAATTTGTTGGTGAGTGCTTTGTAGCCCAACCAGAAAGAAATCTTGCTCTCATTGTGAAGAAAATACAGGCAAAGCCAATGGACGGACTCAACTGCAACGTTGACAGAGACATAACACTAAACAACGTCGTAATACCAGATATAGAGCCCAATTACACAATTGTTACTAAATTCTTGCACTTTACATTTTACTCCAAAACTCCATCTATTAATCTCATCAAACCAGGTGCAAAACCACATTGATCCCTGGTCCCATCTTCAGTCCACCCGTCGCTTTGGCCCTGGGTGATGCGTACCCCTCCTATGAGGTTTGCCAGTGAGAAAAACTTCAGACTTGCTACATGTACTTGCTTCTGAAGAATTAAGACAAAAGCCATTTTTAAAATGATGATACTTACAAACCTATTGTAACTTTAACCATGTGACATGGGGTTGTGGATGACTGATTCAGAAACCATCTCCCAAATTCCTCAAACCATCTTTGCTTCCAAGTACATGTAAGCTCTATCAAAACCTTAAATAGCCAAAAAACCATAAAGTGTCACATGTGGTGTGATGAGACTCACCCAGAATGTGATCTCCATGTTCACCTCTCAGTAGTCCAGACCAGCTGTGGCATGGGGTCTGTCCTGGGTAGTGGGGGGTCACACTATCCTAACTTCCAGGGCTCCCAGGTCTCCCCCAATGGTCCACACTCTGACCCCGCCTCCCCATGATGGGTGCCCCCGGAAAAAATTATTGAAATGTAATTGCCTTACAGGCAATTACATTTCAGGTTAATCATGTTAATAGAAATCAGCACTCCTTCCTGTGACGAAAAGCGCTTAGGCTTAGATAATTTATTGGCACTCTTCAATGAAAAATTTATGAATGATTAAAATCACATGTCCAACTTTAATTTGGTTTCCAGACTAAAAGATCGAGACTTCTTTGAGAGATCTTTAATTAGGTCTGGAAGCTGCCACAGTCCTGTAAACAAACAGGGGAAAATCTTGCCAAACTAAGCCTAGTCCAAATTTTATAAAACTGGTGTCAGAAAATGACATATGTACATGTACATGTAGGCCTAGCATGAAAAACAATTATGGCAGCGAAATTGGGAAGAGAGTATAGGAGGCCTGCATGATGAGGGGCGGATACATGTGCAGTCGTCCGCCCTTTTTGGTGGGTTAACATCTTGGGCCTACCTACTCCTACCTGATTATTCAGTGTGACATGCTTGCAAGTGGCTTCGCTCTCGGCTGTCTCCACCGTTCCACCACGCCGTAGGGCCGGGATCATTGCAATCCTGGATAGCCACCTCAGAGACAGGGTACCTGGAGCTAGTTGGGCTGGTGCCTTGCAAGGGGGGGGGGTACACAGTAAATCACATACACCGCTCGATGAGACAATTGTTCTGGCATTACTTCAGAGAAGTTTTAAAAATGGAACTGGTTAGCTT